GGGACACAAACACATGTGTCCAGATACTCACGACTGCCCCAGCGCCATTTGGACACGTCACCCCTCGGCCGATGCAAATAATGTCACTAGACAAGACACCCTTCGGGTAATGCAACGCACACCAATTGGGGAGCACTTAAACTTGCTCCACAAAACAAGCTGTCACCACGGTCTCACTTACTCTCTCAGGCGTGACTGGCCGCAGTCAACACTAGCCCTACCTTCGCCAGTGGCCACTGCTGTCTGGACCGCAAGTCGAGTTCTGTGCACAATAAATTCTTCCCACCTTCTGCGCCTTCTGACTTTTCCTACAACTTTGGATTCGACTAGATGATTGTGTTGGTAGAGGTGTATTGTAGTAGTGCTTAGACCCCACACATTACCCAAATGTACCACTTTTCATTCCGGGGGGTAGGCGTGGAGAGCTGGGGTCTCACACGAGCGGTAGAACCACATAGACGACAGTAAGAAAGAGTCACTTCAACCTGACTATTTGTCCTGAGAGGAGGACCAAGTTACTCTGCCAGTTACCTTAAAAGCCGCAGTCCATAGCATGTGGTGAGGGATTTTAAGTGTCAGAGAAAAGCGTTCTGAGTTGTCGTGAGCATGGGTTCCCTCACAGTACTGGACTCATCGACTGATCCATTCTCCAAACAGCTGTCCCATTTTGGGGGAAAATGTAGCTGAAGTGGCATAAAAGCCTCCGTCTGCGCTGTGCCATGCTTATGTACAACAGTAGTTAAAGGGACAAGGCTGACTTGTATGGCCGCCTAAACAGGACATACGAATAGGACAGCCCCGCCCACTTAAAAACGTTGACCTTGCGACCAATTTCAGGAAGGGTAAATATTCCCAGGTCTTAACTCTAGCATTAACGCTATAGTTAACACGAACCCAAACCTTAATCCTTCACATATTTCTGACCCGAGCCCCAACCTTAAACATAACCCTAACCCTTACCTTAGGTCTGAACCTGGTCTGAATTTGGCGCAAAACCAAATGTATTGCGGGCGGTACGTGTTCCCGTGTCCTGTTTAAGACGGCCATACAAGTCATCCTTATTGCCACCCCCCCCCCTTAAAGGAACGCGAAGACTTGGTACAGCCAGTGCTTCAGCACACCTACAGTGTTGCCCTTGTCTATATGCGTCTGTAGAGTGTGGTGATGTAAACGATGCTCGAATTGTGTGGCGGGTCCGGGGGATTTTCATGTATATGTGGTGTCTGAGTGTACTGCTATAGTGGGGGAGAGGGGAGGGAGAAAAAGGTGTGCGTGAAGGGTTCCAGACATTGGTGGGTTCAGCACATAATACTGCCCCTTTAGTATACGTGGAGTTCACGCAGATAGTCCGACTACTTTCAGATCTTCAAATGCCTGTCTGAGAATGGACCAACTAAGAAAATCCTCATCCTTCTCCTTCTTTTTAGAAAGAACCATTATTGTAGAGGTGGCAATTACCCGGGTGACCAGAAAGTGTATAGGGTACGCTGAAGGACTCAGGGCTCGATGAGCCGAATCCCTGGCAATCGCATCATGCAGGAGATCAGCCAGGCAAGCGTGTCGACTTCCAGTCATCTCCTGTGTCTCGATTCAAAAAGTCGGTTGAGTTGACTTATAGGTGCTCC